CAGTGTTGCCATATTTTTTTTTTGTAAAGTATGTATAGCATTTTTCATATAAAAATTCTTGCACGTCATTCAAGATTTACGACGTCAGCAGCGGGACTCCGTGCCACATAGAATTCTATCGTAGAATTCTATTGTCGTTTTCTATCTACAACGGCGATAGTAACGTGTATTGGCACTCCGTGCGTATGTCGTTTCGCTTCCGTATTTTCCGATCTCTCTATTATTGAATGTAAAAACATTAACCTGTTGGTTTTACTCAAATATCGTATTTATTGTCTATTATCTTTGTTTGTAACACATTTTAGAGAAAGAAAGTACTATTTTTGGGGTTTTTAATTGTTTGGGTTGACTTTTTCGGTTTCGGTTTATTACGCGGGTCATTTGCATGCTGCTGTTTGTTTTTGTTATTTAAAGTCATTTTTAAAGAGCTTAGTCTTCGTTATATTTTTGGATAAAAATGAGGGCCCGAATGGAACATTGGGAAATGTTGCTTTCATTTTGCGAAGAATATCCAAAATTAATAACAAATAAATTTAATGGAAGTGAGGGACGAGCTAAAGGAATAGCTGTGTGGCAAACTGTTACCACAAAATTAAACAGTTTAGGATATGACGAAAAAATCATAGGAGGTGGAGATCTAAAGAATTTCAGCAGAGGAGGAATGGCTACTGAATTATTTGTGTGTACCATATTGGGTGCAATTTGATTATAAACACATTGTGCCATCTCCTTATTCAACCTAGAGTTCTTTAAATCGAATATCGATATAGCGAAAGGATTGCTTTCATCTCACATTTGGCGCCTTGTTAACGCTTCGATACGAATTTGCTCTAACCGCTCCTCATTTTCCCCTGCTAGTATGTTTATTATATTAATAGGTAACATGCCTACACTATTTCCACGATCTCAGCAAAATAAAATAAACTCTTACGTAAAAACCAAAAACAGTTAGAATGTACACATAACCTTAATCTCCAAAATAAAAATAAATAAATTTACTGTCAATTTGCTTTTGGAATATAATACGCTTGCGCTATATAGAATTCGATAGGTCTCTGGAGATAGAAACGAAACGACCAAAATAATAGCATTCATGCGACAATGCGGATGTACGGAGTGCCAACGTTGTAGAATCTTCTCTATATGTAGAATACTACATGGCACAGAGTCCCACTGCAGAACCTCACAGCGCTGTCAAAACATCAGAATAGTAAGTGAGGAATATTTAAAATGTCGACTATTTGTCAAACTGTTATATTAACAGTAAATACACTTAGTTTTAAGACTACTGCAACACGCTAAAATACATAAGAAAATATTTTATTACAAAATTATAAATTCTAAATTTTAAACTTACCTCTTTTAGGGCTTTAATAGTAAAAACATCCCGCCATTATTTCTTGTTCAAAATAATCTATCTTATATGAAGCTTATCAGCTTTCTACAGACTATTTATTTATTTTGGCATATCACAATCACAATACACAACAATAATTAGTTTTTAAAGCTATTAATCTAAATTTAATATGTGTTTATGAATACGATTTATTAATATATATTATATTATGATCAAATTGTGTAAAAAATCAAAACCACTCAAAACATAAATAAAATTCCTACTCTAAAAAAGCGGTAACACTTAATACACTTTTGCCACCCACTGAACTGTTAATAAAATTTGAAGTATTTCCGTATCAGTTGCGTACAATTGTCTAATATTTTTAATTAAAATTATTATTTTGTGGAATCTTAGACTTAAAGAGTTATTCCTCTAGAGTTTCCTTAACATGCAGAGTTCTCTCTGCAACATTCTCTCCTTAGCTTCTTTCTCTTTTTAATTAATCGATCGGTTTCATTATATTTAATTGAATTTTTTGTTTTTAATGATTTTCTTTTATTCATTAATAGTAGTATTTCTTCAGTCATCCAGTCTTTATGTTTTCTTTTCTTTGGTTTTAAGTTTTCATTTGCTGTTTTAATTATTGCTACTTTTATATTTTCCCATTTCTGATCAATGTTATAGCTTCTTTTATTCAGTTCTTGGGCATTACGTAGATTTTCAGTAAGAGTTTTTACAGTTTGTTCCTTTGTTTGTGGTAACCTTAATCTCTTAATATCAGTTCTACTTTCTTTTAGTTTTTTAACCAGTTTCAATTTAGTTCGTGATGGGGTTATGGTCTGAACCGATGTCTGCTCCAGTATATAATTACGAAATCTTTGTCTAATGAGGACAAAGTCAATTTGATTTCGGATTATTCTATTCGTTGTATCACCGGGAGATTTCCATGTATACAATCTTCTTTTTGGTAACTTAAAAAGTGCATTAGCTATTATAAATTCTTCCGTCTGGCAAAATTGTGTCAAACGGTCACCACGTTCATTTCTATTTCCTAGACCATATTCCCCCACATATCCATCCACTCTTCCCCGGCCAACTTTGGTTGTCCTATTCTATTGTAATGTAATGTCGCCCATTTCTATTGTAGTGTGATGTTTCTTCATTGATTATAAGACTTGTTCCAAATCATGGTAAAATAGTTCGATATCGTCGTCATCTTATCTCCCGTAGGAGCATAAACTTGAATAAAATTTACTATACCTTCTTAGATTGGAGGTTTTCCATTTCAAGCAGTACGTTCGTTAATTTACCACTGCGTATAGACTTCTGACATTCCAGGTTGCTATTTTCAATGTCTTAAGTGCACTGGCATTTCTATGGTTTACGACCTGGGAGGCCCTGTGATCTACGGTTATTCCTCCCCTCTCGGATCTTGGATTCCGTGTTCGATAATCAGTAACTTTGTTTTTAATTTGTTTGGTTTAGAATTTGGTCTATTATGTTTGTTTTAAAAACCGTCTTGTGCATTTTTTTAATTGTGTATAGTTCGTCTTTAGTTGATTTAGCCGGATAAAAAATAGATCTTTTAGCAAGCCACTTCAGCATTGCATCTTTTTCCATAAAAAAATTGGAATGGGTTCTAAGAGTACGTTATGATAAGAGACATTGTTTAGCACCAATATAGATTTTTTTCTGAGCATTAGGAATAAATTTTTCTTTTAACCCCTTGACAAAATTTGTATTTGTACAATTTATAAATCGGGCATGAAATCCGGACACTATCACGATGAAATGAATAAATGCCTGAGTTACGAATCATGTTTCACCTGTACCAGTATGTACGATAATAAGCCGTTTACCTTTAGCTACGGGTGCTTTTAGACATTATCATGTTTAATCACAATATATAATTGGTCGTCCTTCATCTTTGTAGTTCTTTCATCACCAATCAGCCAATCGCGTCCACTGCTGGACATAGGCCTCCCTCAGTTCTTTCCAGTGTTCTCTACACTGGGCCGCTTGTAGCCAGTTTCCCGCTACACGTTTAATGTCATCGGTCCATCTAGTCGGTGGTCGTCCTCGGCTTCTTTTATAATTTCTGGGCCTCCATTCCATAATACGTCTTGTCCACCGTCCATCTTGTGTTCTGGCTAAGTGCCCTGCCCAGTTCCACTTAAGCGTCGTGGTTCTTTCGATGACGTCTTGAACTCCTGATCTTCGCCTGATTTGTTGGTTTGTTATGTGGTCTCGAAGGCTCACGTTCAGCATTGCACGTTCCATGGCTCGTTGTGTAACTCTAAGTTTATTCGCAGATTTTTGCGTGAGTGTTAAAGTCTCTGCTCCATAAGTTTGTACAGGTAAAACACATTGGTTATAAACCTTTCGCTTGAGACACATGGAAATTGAACTTTTTAGAATATGGCTTAATTTGCCAAATGCTCCATGTTAGACCTATTCGCCTCTGTATTTCATGTGTTTGATTGTCTCTGCTTATTTTGATTTCGTGTCCCAGATATTTGTAAGTGTCTGTTTGTCTGGTTGTATTATTGTCAATAGTATATAGTTATATTTTGTAGTTCTTTACCTTTCTTAAAAAATCAGTTCTTTTTGATTTAATATCCTATGTCTCCATCAAAACTTTCCTGTTATCTTCAGTTTTTCTTCATCCAAATCCCATTCTTTTAACCAATTTTCTAAAATAGTCGATATTACCAGTAAATTTTCTTCCCTTCTTCATTTTTTATTGTTTCAAAAATTGTCTTTATAGTAGGCCTTCTTTTATGTATAGCAGTATACGAATAAATAATTATTTTTTGAATTATTTCCTCCTCAAACTCATCTGCGGATCCTTTGGAGGTTGAAGCTTTTTTGATACCCTTTCGAGGTGAATTAAAGCTTTCACCGGGGGATTTTTTATTAGCTTTACCGAAAATACGTTTTACTGTATTGAGACTAATATCGCATGCTTGGGCTACTCTTTTGTGTAAATTGCTCAGTGGGATGTTTAAGGCTTCCTGTTCTTTTTCTTTCTTCAAAAACTGGTACACATTGTATATGATTTGTCGACCTTGACTATAAATATTTCTTTTGAAACTAGTCGTTTTTATAGAACAAAAAATTTTAAGAAATAAACAAAATGGCTTAAGGTAATATGCACAAACCGGGAAACACAATACCAAACACAATAATCGGGAAACTATGACGTTACTGTCCTGCCTTGGCCTGGTAATAGTCCTGATCTAAATCCTAGAGAAAGTCTATGGTCAACGTTGAAAGTGTTAATATCAATAATATTTAGCAGTGAATATCTGCATAGAGCTAACGACTGATTTCTTTTTAAATTTTTAGAGGGTTTAGCCTCTTAACACGTTAAGTGCTTTTGCGTATAAAATTAATACTCAGTAGTAGGCTCCAGTACGCCGTGTGTATGGATTTTATTCACGAGGTATAGCTGTATTGTAGGCCGTATGTATGCAATTTTTGTACCATTAACGAAGGTATCTTATAGGATATGTATTGGTGCAGCGCTACAATACATCATATCAAATTGGCAGAAAAATTGTATCAAAGTTAGCGGATGCATTGTATGTATTAGGACTATTAGAAAAAGGTTAATTTAAGGGTTGCACAATAAAGAAAACGCATAACTTAAAACAATCATGTATATTATATAACTCCGTTACTTTTATATACATTTTTATATTAGACACCAGCTGAAAAAATCTGTAATTTTTCGCCAAAAATTGCCTTTATCTTTTAATAATATAGAGTGGCATATCACAGAAAGTTGAACATCTTGATAAATTAACCAAGCAGGTACCTTCAACTTTACGTTATTAATTCATTTTTATGATTTTTCACTGCCAGGTTTTTTATACTCATTCGCTATCTTTTTGACTAGAGGAACTTTTTCTTTCAGCTTTTCCTTTGCATTTTCTGCTTCCGATCCTTCGCTCAACATTAAGGTAACAAAATCTAAAAGAAACAAGTTTTTAAAATTATTCGTTTTAATTTCAACCTAACCTCAAAGTTGATTAGTTTTTTATAGCTGCGATTAATTTCCGTAATTATACTAAATTAAGTGATTAATAGTAACTATTTTTATACAAAAAAGTAAAGAGTGATGAAGATCTTTGGGTCAAAGTTGTTGATTAGACAAATAATACTGTTAGGACTTCATTTTTTCCAAACCAAAACTTTTGAGGTTATATTGTGAAAATGAAATTTTGTAAAAAATGTTTAAAACCAATCAATGATCGAAATGGAGATAGCTCCTAAATGTGAAAGCTGCCGTGTTGTTTTCTACTTGGAGGAGAAATACTCAGGCCTTAGTGTAAGTGCGCAGAGAGCCATTGTTGTTCAAAAACGGATTATTTCGTGCGAAGACTGTGTACTTTCCTTTAAAAAATACCTGTTTTAAGTTCATTCAACTAGAGGAGCCAATCAAGTCCTTAAAGAAGGAGCTAGACACTGTTAAACAACAACAGCAGCAATCGGTTGGTGGTACATCTAATGTGAAAACGTTATTGCATGAGGTTGAGGATCATGCTCAACGTGCTAATAATTTGATGATGTATGGCATCCCGGAATCAACAGGTAATATCATTCAAGAAAGAATAAATGCTGATAACAGCGCACTTACTCCCATCTTCAACAACATTGGTTTTGCCTAGAACGATGTGTTGAAGATATTATGAGTGGAGTAGACATCTGATGGCAAAAACAAGCTCATAAAATGGTAACTAAACACCGCAATTTAGTCAAAAACGCAATTAATAAGTGCAATCGTATTGAGGATGGCATAAAAATAGGCTATGATAAAAGGAAATTTCAACATGAACAGTGAAAAATTCCAAAGAAGCTGAAGACAAAATTATATAAAACAGCCGTAAGCTCAGTTATGATATACGGAACTTAATGTTGGGCAGTTAAAAAGAAAGATGCATGTGACGAATATGAGAATGCTTAGATGGATGAGTGACAAAAAAGGATAAAATTAAGAATGAGTATATTAGGGGAAGTCTAGGGGCGGCACTAATTGACAACAGTTTACAATGGATAGGGCCAATGAACTGGCGAAACATACTTAATAAGGTCGAGGTTCTACTATAGAGCTGTAGCACCAATTATAATAACTATGCATATAATATTTATACCTTTAGTCACATAAGGGTTAAGCTCTGATTTGCAAAAAAAAATTATTGAAAACAATTAAAAAAAAAAATGATATTTACCATGATATGAAGTAAGTTCTGAGGTCTGCTCTTCTGTCAAATATTGCTTTAAAAAGGACAGCACCCCTGCAACATGCCTACCGCTACAATGCAACATCGTTTGTGTAGCAGCCGTAAAAATAGCAACCGTAGCTAGATGTAGAATTAAAGCTAAATCTTCAGATTTGTTTAGCTCCTCCAAAAGCTGATGTTTGTGATTGAGCACAGTAATACGATCTTTTTTCTTATCGATTTTCTTCAAAATCATACTGCAAGATGCTAACGCACTCTCAGCGGTTGTCAAAAAGTCATCAATGCTTTGTCCAGACAAAGTTTTAACGACCGAATGAAGAGATTCTTGATACTCCTTAGGTAATTCGTTAATGAATTTCATTCTCTGATCTTGGTTGAAATTATCAGTTAAGGAGTTCAGGTTCTCTTCTGCGGATACATAATTCAATATTTCGGTAACGATATCTGTGCACAGTGATTTTAGAAGGTACTTCACTAGTTGCGATTGTAAATCAGATGGTAAAAGTTTTAAACCTAAAAGATAAGATATTAGTAATTATTTTAATATTGTGTATTTTCAAAATGATTATCTTAAAAAATAAGAAGTTATTTTAACCTGTAGATGTTTTTCAAAAGCGCTTTGTTTTACCAATTTGACAGGTGACTTACTTGGCCTCGATATTATAGGGAAATAGTCAATTTTCAGTTGAAAAAATTCTGAGGATGGTGTTATATCCACGGTCATGATAGTTGAAATTAAATTCGATTTTTTGTGTTTGCAATTCATTTTACCAGTAAAATTGGCTGTTTCCCTGATATTCTTTAAGGGGACTTTAATTTCTAAATTGGAAAAAAATACAGTTTTTAAATATTAAACAAAAGAAAAACATTATACTTATTATATTATATTGTAAATATAAAAAATTATATTTATAGTCATAATTCTTTCTATTCGTTGCTAAGGTTTTGTGGTATACAAAATTTTTTTTGACACTTTTCGTTGCTTTTTATTACTGCCGATGGCATCTTTCAAAAGATTAATTTTAATTTGGGAGACACTTTTTTGCCTTCCTGTAACAATTCATTTTTTAATTCCAACGGAATTCAATTCGTGAGACTTAAACTAATAAATAAAGCTTTAAAAAGTTTAACTTTTTTTTTTTTAATTTTTAAGACCTTAATAGGCAATTTTAAATGGAGAAATTTTATAAATTATAGAATGGAGAAGGCTAGGAGTTCATTCAACAACATGCCTAAATTCTTTAAAAGCCACAATTTTAATCTGGAGATAAAAGTAAGGCTCCTACGATCTTAATCTTCTCGATATTATACTACGGAGTTGAATCCTGGACACTCACTGAAGCGATGGAGAAAAAAGTTGAAGCCTTCGAGATGTGGCTATACAAAAGAATCCTAAGGATATCTTGGACGGACAAGATAACCAAAAAATGTAGCAGTAAAAAATGTAGTAAAAAATAACAAAGAATGTGGAAAGAAAGAGAGGTGGAGTATACCATTAAAAGGAGAAAGTTAGAATATCAAGGACATGTGAAACGGCACTAAATACAGATTACTGAAAATAATCCTTCAAGGCAAAGTATTCGGAAAGCGAGAAATTGGGAGAAGAAGAATATCATGGTTAAAAAACCTGAGGAAATGTTCTCTAAAAAGATTGAGTGTTTCTTTTTAAACTTATGAGGTTTATTTAGTAGTCTTATATATACAGTATCAAAAAAATTTGGTTTACTGTGACTGGTGTAGTACGTCTCCCATTGGGTCTCCATTTTTTTTGGAGCCAGGACATGGACTTATAAACATAGATGGACACAGCAATAAGATACCTTTAATTAACACACAATGTTTTGAAGCTTCGATAGAATGTGATGCTTCCGCAATGAGCATAAGCGTGCTTGAATTTTTACTCTCGGGTAATTATTCAGATTTTAAAAATTGGAAGTAGTAATAATGTATAAAAACACGTTCAAAGAATTTAAAAAAAAAACGAGAGTTTAACTATTAACAAATCACGTCTTTATAGAAAATTTAAAATACAATTTTATTTGCTTTAAAATTAATACAATAAAATATAGTTGAATTCAAGTTAATTTTTAATAGGTATCAAAATAATGCTACAATAAAAAATCTTTATGTTTTCTCCTAAATTTGCTACCAAAATAGTTCGATCGTCAATATTATTTGGAAACCTATATAGAAAAATAAATGAGTTTTATTCATTTCACTAATTTATTTGCATCCATGAGAAGTATTAAATTAAAAAGGTACTAAACCAGATCTTTTTTAATCAGATGATGTCTGCTTACAATTTAAAAATGTCTACTAATTTCATGAACTTATATCTTATTCAATACATGAATGAACATTAATAAACCCAATGGTACGCCTATTAAAATGTAAACAAACACGCTTCCTCATTTCCTCATCTTAAATAATGTAAATTGTATGTACTTACAAATGAAATGAGAGATCGGGATGTAAATATTTCGTTTATTGTATTTCACTTTTCACAAATATCACTCAAAATACAGCCAAAATATCGAAAAACAACTTTTACTAAAAAGTAAACAAACATGAAACAGCATTTGAAGTTTGAAGTAGATCCATAAGACAGAGAAATGTAAACAACCGTTGCCATTTATAAATAGTTTTCAGTGCTTCTACATATAAAATAATTGATTGATATCTATTATACGCTATTATTAAATGATAATGAACACTATGTGCACACTTTATATTTTGATTACAATTAAATATATTAATCTAACCAATAAATTATTATTTTGGTTTGATAGCACCTGTAGAGTATAAAAAATACGGAGTAATATTTTCAGCGACTCGCGAATAAGAAATTTTAAAACAAAACGTGACAACAGTTGAAGGTGCTGAGAATGTGACCTATTCAAATAATTTTGACTACACAATTTTATGTAAATAACTGAGTCCATCTGTGTTTATACGTCCATGAGCCAGGGGGTGTGGTAAACGTCAGGGTGATATGCATGTGGTGACGTAAGTGGTGTAATGGGTTCAGAAGGTGGCGTACTGTGATGAGGAGCGCACAAGAGGAATTGTTGGTAAGAAAATTCGGCTCCAATCCTGTATATCATTTCTACCCTAATTCAGAATTTATTCTACAATAAACTGATTATCTTTGAATTTCTTTTCATATTATGCTTATTCCAATGCGTCCCCTTACTTCGACCACCTTTTAAATGACTGCCACATTCATTCCTTCTTTCCGATTTTCAAAACAATAATTTTCGATAAATTTCAATAACATAAAACGAGTTTTAGAAAGCAATTGTCGAATTGCAGGTGCAGAGGTGAAGCAGGGCGTGTGGTGTTGTATACAAACGAGTTTAAGCTCAGATGCGTACCGTTATAAATACAACTAAAACTACGTTTATATTTCCAATTTAATAAAATTTTACGACAGTGTTTCTATAATATTCAGGAATGTTTTTTCGTAAAATAAAACAAAAACGATTTTTTGAAAATTTAGAAAGTAAAAGTCACTAAAAATAGGTTTGTATTGGGTCCAAAATAAAAATTAAATAAACGAATCTCTTGGTTTTTTTATTAACTTCATTCAGTTTTTCAATAAGATGAAAGATGTTAGAGTTAATCGTGAAAAAGGTTGTTTTTTACGAAATCCAATCACGAATAAGTGAAAAATATGATTAAATGATTAAATGATTATGATTTATGATTATGATTAAAAATAAAAAACATTTTTTATCAAAAATGCGCCTCTTTATCCATTTCTGGAGATAATTTTTAAAAAATTTCACCCTTGAGTATGTGTGGTATATATAGAAAAAGCACAAATTGGAATAGAATAGATTTTGCTCGTTGATGTTTTCCCTAGTTACTGTTAACATTTCAAGGAAATCGGAGGTCATAACCTTGATAAACTGGACTATTCCGGAGTTTCTATTGGGACCGTGCAAGTTCGGAACAGCGACACCTGGTGTCGTAAGTCAGCAAAATTTACTGCGCTTTCATGTTAGATCGAGGTTACCGGATAACTGTCAAGGACGTAGCCCCAAAAAAGAATAAGAATAAAAAGTAAGATTGAGGTTATGTCATACAGTCGGTATGTTATTAAAAGGTAAACGTTGTATGTAGTGTAAATACAAATAAATATATTAATATGGATGCAATAATAAAAACTGGATTTGAGAAAGTAAATCACCAAATAACTTTTCAACCAAGCACTGAGTCAAAGGGAAATGCTTTAGTAGTGGCAAATGTCAAAAAAGAATGGAAGAATTATGTGGAAGAATTAAGAAAAATAAATTACCATAAATAATGCTAATGCATAAATTAGCAGGTTAAGCCCATGATATCATCATATTGGTTTGAACAATTATTTCCCTGTAAACTATTGGACAGCGAATATATCTTAATGCATCTTCAGAAAAACTTGAACTTGATCCATCTTTGAAAACAAAAAAATAAAATTTAAACATTAAACTTGATTTTTGGGTTAAAATGAACTCTAAGTGAGTATTATGAAACTAAAATTTACACTTAAAAGTGAACTTTTATTTATTATTTATTTCAAACTGACTTTAAAATCGGGCGCAAGAATAATGCATAATTTAGGTTATGTTACTTATGCTTCGATTGAACTTTTCAGGCGCGCTGCTAACAAAGTCGCAGTGGCCATGATGATTTCCAATCTCCGCTAGGAGTGGCACGAGAAGAAGAAGACTTATGCTTTTTTATTATATAAATCTACTTTTCTCTTTGTAGTAATTTGTGCTTCGAAGTTGGAAACGAATAAAACTTAAATTGACAATTTTTTGTTGTATTTTTACAATTTATAACACAGCATTTCCTAAATCCCATTTTCTTTAGTGACAGAAGGTGTAAATAAACAAACGAATGTGCAGTGAAAAATGCAAGATTTCTCCGCTACTCGCGCACGATCGTTTCTCGTATCACATCCAAGTACTTGCACGTCGCCAATACTAACAGATTAAATACCTGAGCGGGAAAATAACTGAATTTAGTCTTAACAAGTAGTATTATTTGTAATTAATTAAAAAAAAATACCTTTATCAAACAGTCGAACATCTCCGATTAAGGCATTCAATTTGTTTTGAATTTCATTGTGAGTTTGACGACGATTAGCCGTACGATCGGTAACGGTAGTAGCGAAAATTTTTGCTGCAACTTGTATGGCATCTTCGTTTAATTTTGGAAGCAAATAGTTCACAATTTCATCCAAGATATCGTCCTGTACGCCCTCCTCTTCAAGCGGAAGTTGCAATGTATCTAAAAAAGATTAATGTTGGATTTTGTTTAAAATACATACAGAGTGATTAATTAGTGACTCATTGTTTCTGAGGAAGCTCAGTAGATCTGTTTAGTAAAAGATACAAAAAAAGATATTTCTAAAAAACTAGATAGCTTTATAGCTTTTAGACAGGGTTAGTCAAAACGCAAGTACGTTATTGTCTTGGTAATTTTAAATGGATCACCCTATATTTTATATCACTATCGAAAAGTAGGATTACCATACTTCAATTTTTATTATTCATTCTCTATGCCTTAATTTATTAGTTTTTTTAGATACTGGCATTTTATATGTATGAAATATTAATTAAGCACCAAACTTCACAAGATAAATGGGTAAACTTACAATATTATAATAAAGATTTAACAGTCCTTCTTACCTTTTTGCTGAAGTTTATCCGTTTACCTCATGCAATTTGGTAAAATATATATAGATATATTTTTACAATTTTTATACTTTACATTCTTAATAATGTCTCTAGAAGAATCACTAAATTGTTCTTTGTTTGTTTTAGGTGAGCATGTGACTCTCTATACCCTGAAAGAAAAGCTAGAACAAGTGGATGACATGCAGATTTCTATTGCTGCATTTCATAGAGTTCTAAAAGAATTAAAATTCAGATGGGTAAATTGTAGCATTTCTAACAGAAAGTATTTAATAGAACAACCACATGTGACCTTAAAAAGACTGCAGTTTTCAAAAGTCTATAAAAAGAATGAAAGCAATTTATACCCCTTAAAACCAGTTTTTTTTTATGAGACCTGGATATTTAGTAAAGGAGAATTCCGCAAGAGCTGGCAAGATGGCAGTGTTAATGCTGTCAGAAAGAACAATGGAGAAGGTATATGATACATTTTTCTTCATGCAGGTTCTGAAAATTGTTTTATTGATAACTGTTAGTTGATTTTCAAAAGTGGAAGTAAATCTGGTGACTACCAATATTCGATGAATTCAAATAATTTTGAAAAATGGTTTGAGAATCAGACCAAATTTAGAAAAATCAATATTAATTATAATGTACAATGCATCATACCATTCAACTTTAGTTGAAAAAATACCGAATACAAGTTGGGCCAAACATTATTTATTAGAATGGTTAACAGACCGACATATTAATTGTTCAATGAATATGATGAAATTTGAGTTGATAGATAATAGGTGGAATGCATAAAACGTAGTATCTGCTAATGCTTCAAGTAATTCTACATTTTTGTAGTACTTGCTACACTTACAAAGCATTTTGCTTTCATCCGTAGTATTTGCTACTATTTACCAGATACATAGAAGGATGTACTACGCTTTCGAAGTATTTACTAGTTTAATAGAATTTGCTTCAGTTTAGGTGAAGTTGCTGGATGAACGACTTCGGCGTAGGTGTTTTTTGTTAAAAAATGGCAGCATTTATGAATGTTCGTCGTAGAAAAATCTACAAACGAGGAAGAATATACAATGACGATGTTTATCGTAAAATATTCAGGTAATTATCATGAATAGTGCCGTTTTATTCATACAGTGCGCTGGAATAAGTGTTACCCCCCATATTAACTCATTTATTTTTAGTATATTTTTAGTTAACAAAACGTTCGGAGAGGTCGATTTTTAAAATAATCGTAGTATATTATAGAATCAATGTGTTTCGAATTTTAAGCAATCCTTCTTCAGGTGACAGTCATAACTTTGATTTTTTTTAATGGGAAAGTAGGGGGGGGTAAGCCTTATTTCCGCTTACTGCATATGTAGGTATATCTATTTAGGTAATAATATAAAATCTTTATAAAAATTTACATTCATATTTTTTGCTTTAGATTCAACAGAGAAAATGTAGAGTGGCTTGCTAGTCATTTTCTTGACGATGACGATTCCGTAGAAACAAGAGGTGGAGCCTTGTCACCCACTCGGAAAATGGAGATATTTTTGAGAAGTTTGGGTTAGTTTTGGAAATAAGTTGTAAACTTTGAAAAATATAAATATAACCTTTTCAGGAGATCCTGGATACCAGCAGGGAGTTGCTGTTGATTTAAATGTTAACCAGAGTACTGTATCCAGAACCTTAATCAGTAGTGTTTCAGAAGCAATTTACTTAAAGAGAAATAACTGGATAACATTTCCTAATACTAACGAGTTATTTGAACTTGCTATTAATCAGTGGGCAAATACCAATAAGCAAATGCCCAATGTTATAGGCGCTATTGATTGTACCCACGTTAAAATAACAAAGCCTCGTATCCATGGTGAAGAATACGTGAATAGAAAAGGAGTATATTCCATTAATGTACAAGCTACTTGTAACGCCCAAGAAATGTTTACCAGTGTCGATGCGAGTTGGCCAGGCTCCGTACACGATAGTAGAATTTGGCGAAACTCCGTAGTGCATCGAATTATGTATAATAATGTGCAAGGAGCAGCCTTGATAGGTGATGAAGGATATGGTATTGCACCATGGTTGTTGACACCTTTTAAAAATCCAACCACACCTATTCAACAAAATTATAATACAATTCATGTGAAGGAACGTTGTGTCATCGAGCGCTGTTTTGGTCAGTTGAAAAGGCGTTTTCCAATGTTACAGTATATTATTCGCTTAAAAACTACAAACATTTCAAAACATATTGTAAGTGCATTTGTACTTCACAACATATCTAAACATTTGCAGGATCCGTACCATGATTTTGATATAGTTCAAATTATAGTGCAAGATGCAAATGAAGAGATACCTGAAGGCAATCAAGCACAAATTCGAAATCGAGGCACACAACGTAGAAATGAGGTTGCGGAGGCTCTATTTCGTAATGCCAACTAACACATATATTATTACCATATGTAGAGGGTCTAATAAAAATTCGTAAAAAATATTTTGATTTTTATTCTATTAATATTAAACAAAATACAACATATTAACATATTTATTTAATATTTAGTTTATAACTTTGTTTTTATAAAAATACATATCTATGTACAAATGTTGTCACTGTACCATATCACGTTGAACTATATGGTTGATTAATTGCTCACCGGCTTCAGCAAACTTTATCAATGTATTTGCGGCTCGTTCCTGAGCTTCTGCCGAAGACTGTTGAGCTCGAGCACAAGAAATTTGAGCTTCGGCTGCTTCAACTTGTTTTCGTAAGCAGGTTTTTTGTAGTTCAATCAGCGACTCCTCCTTCGCATTATGATATTTGGGAGCTCTGCCTGTTAGTTTTTGGCAACCAGAATTGGAGCTAAAAATAACGTTTTCATCATTTTGTTTTTTTGATGAAACCCCAATCTCCTCTGTTACACCGGCCTGACAAGCACCTGGTACCCTGTGCAAGACTGGATTTTCTACAATGTTCCATAACTCGTAGAATTTTCTTTGCCAGTCAGTTAGTACGATTCTTTTGTTTCCAGTTTTCTTTATGTCAACATTTTTTTTAACCTTTGTTTTCATGTTGTTGAATTTCTTCAAAATTTGTTTTGAATCCAGGTTTTTTTCGATAATTTCATCAAAGGCAGCAGTTAATTGATTCAATGCAGCTTCCTTTTCATGTTTAATTTTTGGGATCATTGTTTTATCAAATAAAATTTGATAATTTTCAAGAAGATTAACAAACAATACTTGTTCATTTTTGTCCTCACCTAACTCTTTTGTCGCTTCGGAATCTGAACCACTCATTTTTACTCACTACTCACTTATTCTAATAATAATTATTCACAAGACACAAGCATATGAAAAACCATATGAAAAACTAGTTCTAATACGATTGTTGTGATGCGCACTACGGCTGGCGCTACGTTTAGTAGCAGATCCTTCAGGTCAGTAGCAAGTACTTCGGTTGTGTAGTACGGTCTTTTCAACAAAGCACCTGCTTTTATGTAAAAGAAAATGCTACAAACTAGATACTATTTGCTGAAGCAATAGCATTTAGGTACTACGTTTTATGCATTCCACCCATTGTAAAGAAGCATCTCCCAGATAAAGTATTTAAGTATGTATTATTATTTAGTAAATGACATTTTTAGATATTTTGTTTTACAGATTGGATACACTGGCCCTTCAATATGGCCATCGTCTCTTGAGACTGCTTCCATATCATTGTCAATTCAATCCAATAGAGAATGTTTGGTCTGACTGCAAAAGGTATTACGATGCCAATATAACTTCTGCTGGCGTTACAAATGAAGCCACAGTTTTAAATGTTTGGAAAAAATCATTACAACAGGTAAATTATTATTTTTTTTTTAATTCTTAGGTAATAACTTGGCTCTAATTTAAGGTCACACCAGAAAAGTGGAGGAAATATGTTGGTCGCGCAGAAAACCTTATTGATGAATATTGGGAGACAGCAAAAAGAATGGACGCAAGCCACATATTTATCTCTTTTAATTATAGATTTAAATAAATCAGATTGTGACTCTTCAGATGATGATTTTGTGAAAAAGTATGAAATAAACTGACACTCAGACCGTTTTTCGTTAGAAATTTTTGGCATTATTGGTCCCTATTTTTCTTGTGTTTATTCCTTTATATTTTCTAATCTTTAATTCCTTTACAAACATTCTTCTGTAATATTTAATGTTATTCAGTTTCTCATGTTACTAATATCTCCTAGTTATTTAGTTGTGTGTATTGATAGCTATTTAGTTATTATTTTAGAGAAGTGTATTGTAGTAGAAAAAATGGTAAATTATACAAAAATGATGATGTTTGGGTCATTGCATCCTCAAGTGGGGACGTTGGCTATTTTTATGGTATTTTTCAAAACATTATTTTTCAATAAGCATTGTTTTTTTGACACTTTTTGCATGTCATTGCCATTTTCTTCATTAGCTTACACTCCATTACTGGTCATTTTTGCACACGATTTTCTATTACAGTTCCCATCGCCTTTATGTTTTTGGGATTATCGAATCTAATCGATTATCAAATCTAAACGATTATTGAATGAAATCGAATCGATTATCGAATTGATTATCGAATCAAATCGAATTTAATCTCTTGGGTATTGTCCCATGACTCATTGATTATAGTTCCCAAGTAATTGTATTGTGAGACACCTCATAGACAAAAACCATTTGGTTTTGGTCTATGGACACCTTCACTTATACAGGGAGTTACACTTGATACGATTTTGATGTAAGTAATATTGGTTGTAACTTTTTAAATACCCATTATAACAGGTTAAAACTTTATATTGTTGTAATTGGAAAGTGAAGCACCTGACCTCAAGTTTAAAATAAAATACCGGTGGTTTAAAAAAATATAAACTTTGACCTGGTATCCCGTTATGAAATACCCTGTAAGATTGTAACTAATTTTAAAATGTGTAAATCGTTTTTTTGTATCTTTATAACAGACTTACGAACTTCCTCACACTAATCAATCATCCAGTATTTAGTATACATATTTAGCGTTTAGCATAAATTTAAGAATATAATAAAACGAATATGGCAACTTTGCTTCAAATATAATATGTACGTACTTACTTTTAATATCATCAAATTGAATAATTTTCAACACTATTTTTTTTTCAGCCACGTCTCCATCACTTTCTGAGTTGTTTCTTTGAGCAGCCCTGTATAACTTTTTCGTAGATTTAGTTTTCGTTTCTCTACCTTGAGTTCCTCCACCGCTTTTTCCGCCAGCTGCTTTCCTCCTCCTTTCTTCTCTCTTGTCAACCTTTTCTTCTATGTCTTCTACTTTTTGCGTTTTGGTTGAAGATGCTTGTAGACTGATATTATACTGCTGATACTTTCCGCTTTCTACAACATCCTTGGCTTTTTCTTGAATTAAACTTTCACAATCTTTAACTAGTTTCTCAATGAATGTTTTACTAAAGACGTAGTTCTCCAAGAGAACGGTTTGAGAACGTTTTTGGTTATTTAATACTAAGTCTAGAATCATTTCTTGATCTGTTTGATTAAAGACTGAAGGTAAATTAATCTGTAAATCTATAAATGACTTGCTAGCTATGCACTCATCAATATCAGCCTCTATGCGATCCAATATAGTTTTAGATACTATGCAGGAATTGAGAATTTGATAATCTTGATTGGCAAGCTGTTTTTTAATGTATGTTTTTTGGTCCGTTATACCAAGGCGAGAAAGAGCATCAAACTCAAGGTAACTATTTTGTTTGTAGAAATGGTTTACCCATTCATTCTGCAATAAAATATTAAGCATTAATATACACTGCATGAATATTTAGAAAGATTAGATAGTATACAGGGTGTTTCAAAAAAAGGAAACACCGTCTCTAGGATAGGTAAAAAAACTGACAAATAATTGTGATTTGCTTAGTAAAAGAAATTTGTAACGCCATCCGTTTTCAAGATAAAAGGCATTGAAGAAAAAAGTGTCTACCCTTAAAAAAGTTGTTGTTAAAAAAGTTTGTTGAATAATGTTAAAAAACCACAATTCCCGCCTTGATTTTGAAAGTGACATATGTCATGTCAGACTGTGACTTTAATAAGTCAGTGGAGTTCAAGGACACTAAACACAGATAGGATTGATTTTGTCCTATGCTCTAATGTAAGAAATGCGTTGTGTTGAGTGTGACGTAGGCGTGGGGATTCGTGGTTGACATTTCATATTGTTTTATGTAAAATAGTTCTGCCTGCTGCCAATTTTTTTGTTGTACTAGCGATTTAACGGCCTTATAAGACTATTTAATTAATCTTTCTATATCAATTTACTTGTATAAACAAAATGGGTGGTAATAGATGTGCCATATATGGTTGTGACAATAATTTTAAGAGTGTGAAAACCAAGAATATGCTTGTTATGTTTCAGAGTTTTCCAAAAGGAAAGGATTTAGTGTCGAAACCTATAAGAGCTTAAGGGGTTAACCGATGCAGAAGAGCTGATAATTTTAATCCCGATTCTAGTAGAATATGCTATGTTCATTTTACAAACAATGACTATGAAAGAGATCTTCAAAATTAATTATTAGGTAAAATGATTATGCAATAAAATGCCTATAAAAATTTTTTAGCGTAACTTATTTTAGGTTTACCTACTAAACGCCTTTTAAAGAAAACTGCAGTTCCAACACTTTGTTTGTATAAACATACCTTTGACACACCTGTCTCTACTCGTGAAGGTAGATTAGATGTTATAAACAGAAAGCTACTTGTAGCCGAAATTACAAAGGTTTGGTGAAATATTTTGAATATTGCATCTTATCAACATGAACATACTATTACTGAATCTGAAATAATTTTTGAACAAGCTGGTGACAATATAGATTTCAAGCCTGAAGTAGATTTTAAAGCAAAATACAACGAATTATTAAACATTTATAAAAGGTAATTTCACATACAAAGTTAGTAAACATAGTTATAGTTTACCATCATGGGTGCAGCAACTCTTTTATGGAGGTCTTATCAAGCTTACAGATGAGTGGTTCATAAAAATAAAATTATGGAATAAATATTATGAAAAATATATTGATACCTATAGGAAAAATAATGGAGTTGTTGGAAACATTTCAAAAAGGATTAAAAAAAAAGAAAAAGTGTTGCCATATGCGCTTATTAAAAACTTTTGTAAACTTATAACAATAAATAGAATAAATTATAGAAATTTAAAATCCAAGGAAGCTGAAAATTTGAAGCGAAAAAACTTATCCGTATTGGATTCAACTAGGTCAAAAATTAGAAAATTAATAAAATTGATCCATAGGGAATGTTTCTAAAGTCTCCTAGTATTATATACTGTTTAGTTTTACCTATGTATGTTTACGAAATAAACAGTTCAGTATTGAATAGTTTTATTTATTATCAAATGTTTTTGGATATTAATTTGTGCTCTGACTACATAAGTAAAACACGGATTCATAGATTTTATTTACCAGAAATATTTATTGAGAGTAAACTGGCATTTATTAAATAAATTATAACACTAGCAAATGCATTCATTTCGAAAATAAATTCTATTTGCCATGTAAAACAGATCGTTAAGAACTTATAAGTCTGAATGTCTTAGGTACTGTTCAAAATATTATTATCTGCCATTTATTTGCAAAAACAAATCGTAAATTTTTCGTTTTAAACTTTTTAATCTCAAATTAGGCTCATCTTCCGTAAAAATTAATAGTAACAATAAGGTCGATAATTGCTCGTCATCCCCACGCCTACGTCACAGCCGCGTGTTGCAGTGACAGACAATTTTGGGCGATGGAACCAATGGAACTATCCTATGTAGTCAACCGTTCTTGAGTGGAGTTCACTTGTTTTTGTACTTTATTATGGTATTGTAATGGCCGTTGGCTGTCAACATTCTTTTTATTAAAAGAATTGAATAATTATTGTTTGTTTTACTTCTTCGAATCCAGTAATCACTTCAGGTTATGGGCCCAGTTATGCGCCAGTAATGGAATAGTTTGTGATTCGAAGAGTAAACAGGAATTTGGATCTTGGATTTTTGGAAGTCTGGAAACGTGAACGTGATAAAAACAAACACAGCAATGGCGGTCAATCTACAGGTAGCAAATTTTAAACAATTTGATGGTACTGGTTTTTCAAATTGGAAGTTTCGCATGAAATTAATGTTGGAACAAAATGATTTGCTTATAGTGCAATGCTTAGCTGATAATGTGATACAGATTGTAAAAGATAAAAAGACAGCCAGAGATATGTTCAATACTTTAAAAGACACATATTTGCAAAAAGGTTTGTTTGTTCAAGTTGAAATTCAACGTAAATTAAGAAACATGAGGTATGCTAGTGGAAAATTAGCAGATTTAATAATGATTTTTGAAAACACGGTGACAGATCTGAAGAATAGTGGTGGAACAATTGAAGAACCCGAAATTGTTTCACAATTGTTAGCTGCTATGCCGGAGTCATATCAAGCAACAGTCACAGCAATTGACATTATTTTCAGTCAAGATCCAACTAGAATTGATTTTAATATGGTGAAAAATAAACTCTTACAGGAAGAATCTCGTCAAGGAAATTCTCATAAAAATAATGAAGAATCCACAGCAGTTTTCTTTGCTAATAAGAATCGATATCACTATGGACGTCAACAGAATTCCCAGCAGTTCACACATGGTCCTGGAAATCATAGTAGAGAAGGACGATGGAATAATGGACGACAGTCAAATAGACAATATCCAGTAGTGGGACAAGGACAGGACAATTTTCGATTTAAATGCTACAAGTGTGGTAAAATTGGACTTAAAAGAAATGAATGCATGGAACGGCGGTCTGCTAATAGTGCAAGTGTCGGTCCAAATCAGGTTGAAGAAGAAATTTCATTTCTTACTGAACTAAATGAATTTGAATCGCCACATCCTAATACACATACAGTTTTGTGTGACAAAAGAAAGGAGCTTGTTGAGGTGGATGGTCCATAAAATGTCAGAATTGTCAATCTGAATTTTGACAGAGATGAAACAATAATTGATAAAAGTGTAAACAAAAACATTGACTTTATAATAGACTCTGGTGCCACAAATCATATGTAAATGCAGTTTCAGGAAGTTTTTTGACAGAAATTAAAACTGTAGCTCATAATATTAGTGTAGCAAAGCAAGGTATAACCATAAAAGCTGAAAAGAGTGGCAATTTACATGTTTTAAGTAATGTCGGTGTTAAATTTAATCTGAAAGATATTTTATAGTGCAATGAATTGGAATATAATCTGTTAAGTGTAAAGAAAATGGAGCAGGCAGGTCTAACAATTATATTTGAAAATGAAAAAGTACAGGTATACCATAATTCTAATTTAATCATGAGTGGAATGTTAAGAGGAAACTTATATATAATTACTTTTACTGTAGTAGATGATAAATGTAATGTTGCCATTTCAGATAGTATATTACACAGAAGAATGGGTCATTCTTCACTATATCCTCCAAGTAATTTATGTGAGATATGTATTATATGAATTAATATAAACGGGCAAAATCTGAATCATTTACGATATGCTGATGATATTGTATTAATAACAGAAAAAAGTGAAGAATTGCAAAGAATGATGGAAGAACTAGATAGAGAATCGACAAAAATTGGACTCAAGATGAACTATAGTAAAACAAAAACGATGACTAATCAACCAGAAGAACTTATGATTACAGTGGCACAAACAAAAATAGAACAAGTAAAAGAGTATATATATCTAGGCCAAATCACTAAATTAAATAAAGAAAATCAGACCGAAGAAATAAAGAGAAGAATAAGATTGGCCTGGGCATCATTCGGAAAACTGTCTTATATTCTAAAGAATTCAAAATACCCCCAATACTTAAAAACGAGAGTCTTCAATCAATGTATACTCCCTGTCCTCACATATGGCTCTCAGACATGGACGTTTACAAAGGAAAATATAGATAAAATAGCAAAGACAGAAAGATCCATGGAAAGACAAATGCTGAACATTAAACTGTCAGACAAAAAAAGAAACGAATGGATCCGTAATAAAACAAAAGTGAAAGATGTCTCAACCCAAGTAGCAAAGCTTAAATGGAAGTTCGCCGGACACACCCTAAGGCAGAAAGATGAAAGATGGACTAAAACAATTATACATTGGAGACCATGGAATCACAAACGTAAAAGGGGAAGGCCACAAATGCGATGGTCAGATGACCTGAAGAAACACGTCGGGTCAAAATGGATGCAAATTGCCCAAGATAGAGAGGCATGGAAGAAGGAGGAGGAGGCCTATATCCAAGGATGGATTTTAAGGGCTGTATAGATAGATGTATTAAGGGGAAACAAACAAGTAAACCTTTTAAGAATATTCCAACTGAAAACAAGGCCAAAGCAATTTTAGAACTTATATCATCTGATGTGGCTGGACCATTTTCTCCAGCATCATATTATGGATGCAGGTACCTACTTTGTATCCTTTATTGATAATTTTTCTCACTTTTCATATATGTATCTAATGAAAGAAAAAAGTGAAGTTTTGGAGAAGTTTATGGAATATGAAGCAATGGTAAGTGCCCAATTTAAAACTAAAATGTCAAGGTTACGTACTGACAATGGTGGGAAGTACGTGTCCCATGCATTTAAAATTTTTTGCAAATCTAAAGAAATTCAAATTGAATTTACAGTGCCTAGAGATCCTGAGCAAAATGGGGCCAGTGAGAGATTTAACCGAACTGTTTTAAATATGACCCTTACTTTTTGATAGTGAACTGCCTAAGAATTTATGGGGAGAAGCTGTACGAACAGCAACATATATAATTAATCGATTAAAAACCACTGCAGTGCCAAGTGGTAAACTTCCAGCAGAAATTTGGTTTAATAAAAAATTAGATCTAGAAAAGATACGAATATTTGGATCGAAGGCTTGGGCTCATGTTCCTCAAGAAGTAAGAGGAAAGCTTGATGAAAGAAGTCAAGAAAAATATTTGGTAGGATACAGTAATAATGGATATCGTTTATGAAATCCATTACATAATAAAATTGAAGTTTCTCGGAGTGTGATATTTGATGAACAATATGTGAAACAAATCCAATTTTTTACTGAAGAAAAGGAAACAGATGTAGAGAAAGATGATGTCAAAAATGAAAATGAAGAAAAAAGGGATGAGACTACAAGAAAAAGTAATAGAGAACGAAAGATGCCAATTAGATATAATGACTATGATATGGATATGAATGGCTTCATGACATCACTCCCAGCAGGAATTTTACCATCCGAAGTTCCAAAAAATTATGAAGAAGCAACAAAAGATAAAAAGTGGTTGGAAGCTGTTAATGAAGAGTTATCAGTTCTAGAGAAAAATAAAACTTGGGAGTTGGTGTTTCCTCCAAATGAGGTGAATATAATAGACTCCAGATGGGTATTTACACAGAAAGAAATAAATGGAAAGATTTTCAAAAAGGCTCGACTAGTTGCAAGAGGTTATAAACAGGAACTTGATCCAGATGAAGATATTTACACTCCAGTGGCTAGAATGATAACATTAAGAGCACTATTGGTATTAGCTCTTGAAACAGATTCAGAAAGTCATCAAATGGATGTGAAGTCTGCTTTTCTAAATGGAGAATTGAAGGATCCTGTTTATATGCAACCACTTCCTGGACTTTCACAAGTTAAGCAAGGATATGTGTGTCAACTCAGGACAGCTTTATATGGATTAAAACAAAGCCCTAAGAGTTGGTATGATCGGTTACATTTATTTTTACTTGATAATAATTTCAGAAGATCTACTGTAGATCCCTGTTTATATATAAAATGTAATACTGACTTGCTAATTTGGGTAGATGATTTGATGATAATATCTAATAATGTCATTGATGTAAATAACATAAAAGAGCAATTATCATCAGAATTTGAAATGAAAGATTTAAGTAATAATTCAAATAAAAATATGTTTCTGGGTATTGAAATTGAAAAGAAAGGTGATTTTTTTATTAATTTGTACAGAAAAATTTAATTGGAACAGTTTTAAACCAATTTAATATGAATTATTGTAAAACCTTGGATCTGCCTATTCAACCAAAATTAAATTTAATTAAAAATGAGAATGATCTCCCTATTGTGCCTTATAAACAACTTATTGGATCACTTATGTACATTATGTTATGTTAGGAACAAGACCAGATTTATGTTTTACAGTAATGTATTTTAGTCAATTTCAAAACTGTTTTGGTATCAACTATTGGAATCACTTAAAAAATGTTTTGAGGTATTTAAAGAAAACTGAGAATTTTGTTCTAAAATATGTAAAATCTAATAATACTGTCATAAATATTAATGCTTTTGTAGACTCTGATTTCGCTTACAATATTAATGATCGGAAAAGTGTAAGTGGATTTCTTTTGAATTTTAATAGTAATATTATTTTCTGGAAATCAAAGAAACAGTCAGTTGTAGCAATTTCTAGTACAGAGGCAGAATATGTTGCTTTGTCAAACTGTATAACTGACTGTCTTTCTTAAACAGTTACTATAGGATATGATTTGTAAAATTGTTGATCCAATAGTGATATTTGAAGACAATCAGTCATGCATAAAGATTGCTTGTACTTTAGAAACAAAACGATCTAAACACATAGATGGTCGTCATCACTTTATTAGAGATTGTGTTTTTGAGAATAAAATTAAACTAGTATATGTACCCAGCGAACAGCAGTGTGCTGATATGATGACAAAAGCATTATCTTGTGTTAACTTCAAAAAATTTAGAGACTGTATAGGTATATGTAGTATTGCTAATGATAGTGATCTGTAGTATTGATACTTATGGTACTGTAATGGCCGTTGGCTGTCAACATTCTTTTTATTAAAAGAATTGAATAATTATTGTTTGTTTTACTTCTTCGAATCCAGTAATCACTTCAAATAATACTTGGTACGAACCTTGTAACTAGAGCCCTCTATGAGAGTCAGATATAAAAACATATTCATGAATATACCAGCTTCCAAAACATATTCGTATAAAATTTCATTACAATGTTGCCAGTAGTTTCGGCAAAGTCGTAAAAAATTTGTAACGTGTTTTTTCTTCAACGCCTTTTATCTTGAAAACGGATGGTGTTTTTTTTTACCAAGCAAACCCCAATTATTTTTCAGTTTTTTACCTATCCTAGAGACGATGTTACCTTTTTTGAGTGTTACCTCTGTATATAATTTTGAATGCCTCTAATCTTCCAGAAACAAAATTTGCTGATTCTTTTTATAGAGGGCAGCTGAAGGTACTTATTATTGTGCTCCACCTCATTATGACATGACAATTCAGTGTCTCAATACAGAGTAAACATGAGTACGCATCATCTAAAGATGGTAGAAAATGAAACGACTGCGCGTATCTTAACTACGCACCGACTGCAAAGAATTTAAAACACCTCTAAACTTTTAGGAACAAATTTCTACAATGCGCTTTATAGAGGACGCCATGAATGCCCTGTCTGTTCTATTTAAAAGTGTGTGCTCCGTCAGACACTGGCAGATTGAAAACAAATTCGAAATGATCAAACAGTTCTGAAGAGATTAGTCTTATTTAATATTGTTTAAACTTTGTGAAATAATTTATAACACAAATATTTAAAGGAGGAGAAATAATTCATCGAATAATACTCACACAGCTCTAAAGTTTAAACCAAAACTGAAACAGAAGTATATTAAATTACCTATTTTTTCTTTTATGTATGCCAGATCCTAGTAAGAGAGTAGCAGAGAACAACAAAATAAGTATGTTCAAAAAAAGTGCTGAGCCATTCATGGAACCGAATTTTTATATACAGAAATAATATATAAATATATTTATATAAATATATTATTTATATAATACTCTCCTCACATATTTAAATTTCTCCATATATACATAAAAACCATCAATAATAAGAGATGAAAATTGTTTATCGTTTTGTAAAGAATGCTTATTACTTACCTGAGACCTGGCATAAACATTCGGGATATACTGAGCACCAGTCATCCTTCCAGTTAAAGATCCATAACTAACAGTTTGATCAAAAAGAGAGAAAAACAACTTATCACTGATATCAATTTGGTTTAAAATAGAAGATATTGGTGTTGGCCTGGTTAAGCCTGTTAGAGCTCCCTTGATTTTAGCTTTTGTTCTGGCAATAAAAGATTCTGTGAAGAAAACTTTGGGATCGTTTTTATCTTGTTTTCCAAATATGATTTTTCCTAAATTTTTTTCTACTACTTGGTTCTGTAAAAAGTCAGCGGGAAGGTCATACTGAATTGTTAAATCGCTAATACTGATCTGCCCTTGTTGAACTAACTTCTCATTAATTTCTCCGGCTATTCTTTGTATATATGAGCTATCAATAAGTTGTCCCAATACTGACTGTATATCCTTATTGCTTTTTAAAACATCATTTAGGTGAGCATTTATGTGTGCCAAATCTACACCTATGATTTTGGCTAATTCTACTAAATTTATTCTACCACTGTGGTCATATAATTCTCCCTTTATGTCTGATACTAACTGAGCAGGTGTAAGATATTCCTTGCCATCGCTGGTAAATATCAGATCTAACATTTTTCGATCTATCAACCATGATATGATTTGTATACAGTTCCTTTCAGACAACCTGAAAGCAAAAAAAATAGAATAAACTTTTGATGAAATATTAAATAATCTACCCATATTTTGTGTGTGTGTGTGTGTGTGTGTGTGTGTTTTGGCTTGGACAATTGTCATTCAGCCAGTCTCAATCAAGATAAGTTTATTAATGTAGTGTGTATGTGTGTGTTTGTGTGTGTAGAGTAATTGTCTTGATACTTAGCAAAGTCGACGACATTGTCTTTGCTAAGAGACGCTAATTGTATCCGAACGTCTGCGGTCCCTCCGGTGTGTACCGATCACACAAGGATAGAAATTATTTTCATTTATTAATTTTTTTTTAATAAACGAAAATTTCCACCCATGTGGGATTCGAACTCACGACCTTTAGATTTAAAGGCAGGCGCTCTTACCACTGAGCCACAGAGGGGGTTAATCTACCCATATAGAGTTTTGAATTTATTTTTGTCTACCCTCTGTAAAAAAAATAGAAAAGATGCTAAATAATAGGTCTATATTTTAAATTGTCATTAACAAATGTCATTCAATAAAATCGTCCTCAGAAAATCTAATAGGTGGCACTCCATCCTTCTGAAACCACAAACATTCATCAAAAAGTTCAAGATTAATTGTACTGGGGAATATAAAAATTGGTATAAGATATTACCCTTAAACACTGAAATAAAATGGCCCATCTACATCGCGTTCGAAAAAATATGGTCCAATATTATTTTTTACAGTTTCAGTCCATATGTTAACTTCATCATTATCTTGGTGCTACAGCACTTAGAGGGCCTCGACCTTCTCAAGCTTTCTAAACCATTCTGTTCTGTCCCTTGCTTGCATTTTCCAGTTGCCGACTCCGATCTTCTCCGCATCTTGTGTTACCCCATCCATCCACCTCAGCTTTGGTCTACCCCATCTTCACATTCCCACGGGTTGCGCTGTTAGAATCTTTTTTATCATGTTCGATTCAGGGGCCCAAGCAACATGTCCTGCCCACTGCAGGTGTTTTCGCTTAATTATAGTGGTAATATCTTTACCACCAGATGTATGCTTGTAGATATTCTGCAGTTCAAAGTTATATCTACGCCTCCATATTCCGTTCTCACAGACCGCTCCGAATATCTTGCGTAGCTCCTTTCTTTCAAAAATCGATCTGTTTTAGTTAGCGTCCATGCCTCTGATCCATATGTGAGAACGGGGACTATCAGTGTTCTATATAGCCTTATATGAGTTTTTTGAGACAGAAGTTTGTTAGCTAAGTACTTTGATAGACCATGATAACACCTGTTTGCAATTATTATTAGCCTTTTTATTTCCTCAGATGTGTTATTATTGGGGTTAGCCGATGTCCCTAGATATATGAACTCTTTGACTGCTTCGAAGTTTTGGTCATTGATGATTAAATTTGCGTCAACATTTCCAGCTCTTGTGTTTGTGTTAGTCGCCATGAATTTGGTTTTATTTTGATTTATATCCATATGTTAACTGTCTGAGGGTATTAATTATGATGCTCATGCGTTGATTGGGAATTTTCCCTTAGCTGTTACCTACAACTCGGATGGTAAAACTCTCATGTAACATAAAGAATAGAATAGAATAGAATAGAAAAAGCTTTATTCTCGGGATTCACAAGTTACATACAAATATAAATTGTCAATAGAGAGAATGGTGTCAGTTACAATTTATAATGGTTGCTGTAACAACCTACACTTAACATAAAAGTAATATTAAAACATAATGATAATAGCAGTGACATTTAGATAAAGGTGGCTTCATCAGAAAAAATAATATTTTGAACCAGCATCCGGACTTGATGACTTCATCATTGATTCACAAAATGCAATTCATCTATATGAATCTTCATTGTTTATTTCTTTTACCAAAAACCAAACACTGAAGAATATTCCAATCATAGAATTATGGCTTGATGAGTTAAATTTGCCAAAGTTGACTCTGAAAACACCACAATCACATAGGGTTGAGAAAAGACATATACTAGAAAGACATGTTTTTTGGTAAATATAATAGCTGCTGTACAAGTGTTAAAACCTTGGTTTCGGCTCTATACCTCTTTAGGATATGGGTTCTCCTTGTAGGAGAATGGATTGGGGTTCAAGAGTAAACACTATGTTTTTCAGTTAGTGGAAATCACCAAATTACAGATTCCCTGGGACAGCTTATGCTGTTTCACATGGTTCCTTTCCAAAATGTTTGAGCTTTCTTAAGTACACATGGAGGTTAGCTGTGGCTAGGTCCTCACCTAGGACAGGTATCATTATGCAATGGAATTGGGAAACCACAGAAGACCAATCTCTCCCTGTCCCTGTATTAGGTGTTGGGTTATGCATGGTAGCAGACAAGTGATTGCCTCAAGGTTTGTGTGTTATGAGAGAATTTTAGGGGAGGATGTGTAAGGATTTGGGTGAATGTCTAATGAATTGTACTGTTGTATCGAGATGGCATATCTATACTTGTTATAGGAGGTCTCCTTATAGAAACACGCGACATAATTCCTTTTATGTGGGAAGACATTAAAGAGGATCATAGATATGAAGTGATCAACTTCATGTCTGAGATGAGTTCGTATATAGGAATTTGTTTGGGAGTAGATACAGGTTGGGTTTTGTGTGGTCTAGTTGGTGGAGCTTTCCTTTCTAGGAGAAAAGGTGGAGTAGAAAAAATGCAGTTGTGGCAGATAGTCCATTCTTAATGTACTTTGTAAAAGTATTTGGAAATGTTTAATACTAAAGTATTGTGGAAATACAATTAAAGACCGCTTTACAGCTTGCAAGAAAACTTGCTGCAACTTCTTGCATGACTAACTTTCATGCAATTTATTGCAGGGTCTTTATGTGCGACTTTACAGCTTGCAATTAATGTTGAAATTTTTACTCTTAACCTAACTTATTTATGATTTTTTTTAATTACTTGTTTTTTTTTTAAACCCTTTAGTCGATTTAGTTTGATAGATAGATTGAATTAATTTCGATAGATAGATTTAGATTAGAATTTAGAATGATATATTTAGAATTAATTTCAATAGATAGATTGATTTAGATAGATAGATAGTAAATTTCGTAATGCCAAGACTATGCAAGACATTGTTGGTACTTCGGGCAGAAGATAGTTCAATTTTTGATGATACTCTAACGTATTAATTAAAAATATTAAAATTAGAAAAAGCCGATAATCTACAAATCAAGCCAAGCTAAATACAAATGTGTGGGAAAGGAAATAATAAACAAAACAGGAAACAGCTGATCGGCATGTCTCCGTGTCAATCAGTGATTATGACATTTGACGTTGTGAAAAAATCAAACTTCCTACAAATTCCCCTAGACTTGCATGAAAACTTGCACAGAAAATGGCACCAAACCGATTATCGCGCAACTGCAATAAGTTGCAGGCAATAATCAGCTGACGACATACTGCGCATGCCTTTGGGCAACTTTCTTGCGTCGTGCAGGTAAAATTGCAAGCTGTAAAACGGACTTAAGAAAATAGACAGCTCGAATGCCAAGATTATAAACAAATATTTATACAAACATCAACATACAGACTTAATAGAAAAGTAAATACTTTTCAGCACTGTGTACTTTCTCATCAATTTATATAAAACCAATTTTTAAACAGATCCTCAATAAGGATCTTTGTAGATGCTAGTACTATTTCTATCAATTACAAAGAAACATAAGCCAAATATTGTCATGGGAGATTTTAATGTGAAAAGTAACTAAGAAGAGCAGGAATGCATTGTTGGAAAATATGGTCTGAGAATATGAAATGAAAGATGAGATATGTTGGTGTCTTTCTGTGTAGAAAAGCAACTATTAATAAAAAACACAATTTTCAAACTCCCAAGGTGTAGTCCAAATTTTATGAGAATATTTAACCATCAATTGATTAAAGTAATATATAAAAAGTTACTTGGAACCATGTGCTCGTTAATAAAAAAGTTCAATGTTTTTTAAAAGAGAAAACAGAACTATGTTACTTTTATACTGTATAACCAACATAAGTATGTAAAACAATGTACAAGTTAACTGGAATGCATGAACAACAAACAGAATTTTCATCACTTATAAGGGGGATTAGAATAGCATTGATAAATTACTTATATTTAACTTTTGGTAACATACTATGACAAAGTTATTTTAAAATTAGATTGCATAAAAAAGGGTTGCCAGTGTATTGTTTTAAAACTAGCTAACACTTCAAAGGCTAGCAGAGAAAGGGAACCGAGAAAGAAGTCAGTTGTTCGATTTTTAAAAGTGAGAAGTTAACAGTTTTAAAACTAAGATTGACTTCTGTCTTAGTTCCCTTTCTGTGCTAGACAATGAAGTGTTAATTAGGTTTATTAGAATACACTAGTAATCCTTTTTTACTCCATCTCTTTTTAAAACAACATGGTTGTTTTAAGACATTATAAGTAATTTATCAATGGTTTACTAAACAAAGTTCTCAGTGATGAAAATTCTATTTGTTCTTCATGTATTATTACAGTTTATTATACAGTATAAAACTAACATAGTTCTGTTTTTTCGTTAAAAAAAAAACATAGAACTTTTTATAATCTATGGCTCCAAGTTGATCTTTTTATACTACTTTCATCAATTATTGTCAGCTACGAGCTACATAGTTTTGAAGTTTTTTCTTTGATATTTTGTCTTATTTAGATATAAGCTTATTTAGACAATCTAGATTAAACTGATTGGATGTGTATGGATTCATATATGAAATTATGAAATATTTTCATTAAAGGATGAAGTAGCCAACTCCTTTTTTATCTCCACCTTTGTGACCAATAACCCTCTCACAAGTATTCTTGTGAACTAACTATATGGATATATATATATATATATATATATATATATATATATATATATATATATATATATATATATATATATATATATACTCATTATGAACTATAACCTGTGTTCCAAACTGAGTAGTTGCAACTCTGAAACTTAAACTTTAGAATACTACAAGGAAACAATTATTATTAATTATATAATACAACACGACTGTCATTCTACTAAAGGAATTACTAATAGTAGAAAACTTTCTGTTAGTTTTATACATTAAAAATAAATTGGATTAACACAATCACTAGGAACCTATTTACGACTAGCAGATAATCTTACAAAAAATAGAGATATTGAACTGTAGAGATATTAAAAATAGAGATATTATTGTGAATATTTTAAGTTTTTTATATATACCAGTAAGAAAAATCAATTACTAAGTAGACTAAAGGTATATTAAGCAATTTGGGTGAAGCCTCTGTGAAAAATATTAAACAATTTATTTTCTACTTTCCTGCTCAAGATCTTATACAACTTATTATGTTAATAATTGTATCTGTCTACACTTCTTTAAGTCTATTTTCTTAAACTAAGAAATATTACCAAAATGTTTTAGTAAGACATGTTTTCTTTTTGCGTATTAAATTTTAATGGAAAATTGGATTACTATTTGTACTTTAGGATTAAAGTTCTTAATGTTTTTTAGATATTCATTTAACTTAGAATATTATTCAATTTGTTAACATTGTAATTGATAAAATTTAATGTAAATGTAAAATAATTCAGAATAGGTAATGAAGTTCTAGGTATATATAATATTCCTTCAACAAAAGAAACTTACTTTTGAGTCGTAGAACTCAGCTGCACTTTTTGAAAATCAGCAGCTAAACGTTTGACCTCTTCCCAATCTGCCATTTTTCAATCAAACAGGAGAATTTAAATAATTTAAAGAAAATTACTTTACTAGTAAACAAAATTAACCATATGGAGTATGATGGACTAAGAAATGTTTTTGCAATTTTGTTTAAACGTCACTCATTGACAAATCACCCAAGACCTTTCAAAACAATCAAAATTGCCAACATATACTTGAGGTAGGCAACTTGAAATTTTGGATATCTCTATTTCTCGACGATACACCTGAAATTAGTCAACATATCTTACAGAAATATTATTTGATTAGATGATGCATTCCTTTAGGAGGGTGAAGTTTAAATTATATAATGAAATATCTATCACATTAAGAATGTTTCCATTCTCTTAATGAAAATATTAAAAATCTTCAAGTTAGCTTGCGACAGATCTGAAATTACATAAATAACACTTTAAAATGTGTTTTCTCATGCACAGATTGGGAATTCTATACTGTATAGTTTTATCTGAAAGAAATCGCTTCTGGTTTGTGGTTCCTATTTTTATTTTTCATTTCATATCACAATTTTTATCCTCTACCTAGTTCTTTCGGTGTTTGTTTTCAATTTCGTCGATTGGTTGCAAGAAATTTGTTCTCCTTTTCTTTAAGGAGCATCAACCAACTCAATATTATCTGACACACTTTTAAAATTCTATGACCATATCCAAATTTTTCCAAACTGTTACACTAGTTGTCCTAAGATAATCCTCATCCCAAAATTGGACCAAAGCCTATTTTTGCTTTAGGGATATTTTACCTCTGAATAGACCATTAGTTGAGTATTTTTTTATTATCATCATAGATATCTTTACTTCGTTCGCAGAGCGGAAGAGCTCAGTAATACGTGTTATATTATTTTCGTAAATTTTGTCTTCCCTTAGAGAACTAATTGAAAAATGCTCTAACGTTTTGATTTCTCCCTAACTGTCCGAGCTAGTCTAAATTTGGAGTTTTAATGGTCATCACAATTTTACATTCGCAGGATAGGGTATTCGTAGGATATACGTACTGTAGCATACGCCTAGCCCAGTGATCTGTACATGTATTGTGTAGTTTGTATTGTCTAGGACAATTTAAAAATTGGATTTACTCAATATTTTTTCCTTCCTTTTTATTAAACGACTATACATATACAGAAACGGCTACCTCCGTGAAATCCATCTTCTTAATTGAAAAGAAAAATTAATGTAGAAAGCCTTGCCAAAGGTACGACCAACATAGAAGCAGCATGTTGCTGGTCGCATTGTAGGTCGGACTCGACGTGGCCAAGGTCCGACTAGTGGTCGTATCCGGAGCCGCTGTAGTGAGCGTTAGCTCTTATGCCTCCACTACACATCGGCAGACGCGTCTACGTACGCATCTGCGGATGTATCATCACAAGCTGACCACACATCTGAACACAACTGTAGATCGTTCAGTATCTGTTAATTCCCGAGAGACGCAATATCTACGCGAGCATTAAAAAAATGGCTGTTGAGACCATAGCTGCCGCATGTAGGTATGGTCTATATGCCAATTATGCCGCTATATGCCTATTTAGAACGTTCAACTACTACTTGAGTATACATCGGAATAGAATCGTTAAAACAATAGAACAGAAGTCAGAGGTCAGATATGTGGAAAGGCATCGGACGTCCTCACCGAAACCCTTTGATCTGTGCTAAAAAAAAACCAATAACAATCAGATATCTTGCAGACGCATCCGCGGACGTGATATATAAACAACAGATGATCAAATTACCCCATCTACACATCTCCAGGTGCATACAGAGATGTCGTCCGCGGACGCGTCTGCCGATATGTAGAGGAGCCATAACATCACATCTCGAAAACATCGAGCTGATTCATAGATGCCACAGTTAATGCCTTTGCCTCAATTTCGAAGAGCAACACTGAGAATATGTAGCATTTCAGCAGACGTCATCATTTTATTTTAAATGATGTATTTTGGCTCCTGAAAATGGGTATTATCCTAACGAACGCTGTTTTTACTTAAATTATTTTGTTTTAAGTGATCCCATTGGCTATTTAAATTGGTGCTGAGATATGTATCAAGTTATTAAGTCATTATATTTTTGCTCCTATCCCGACACTGGAAGGCAAATGTTCTGGGTATGTTTGATAACTTCTTATGTATGTAAAAATAAAAACAATGTAGAGGAAAGAGGGGAAATGGTGACCGCTGGGGTAATGGTAAAACAGTACCTAAAACAATGACGATGATTTGCGGGCAAAGAAGGAATTTTTGAAAATGTCATATTTTGTTGGAGTTGATGTAATATTAGTTCAAGATTTTTAAAGGTATGTAGAATTAAGTTTATTTAGCTCCATAATTGGTACCCATTTGTTAAATTTTTAACGTAGTTTAAGACTATATAAAAAGTTATTGCTCTAATTTAAGTGACTAATGATTATGAGTCGATCAGTCAGTATAAATATGTATTTTGGGGTTATAATTATCACGCGCCTGGAGGTAATGCTGGCCGGCCAATATTGCCCCCAAATTGTATTTATATAATACAGAGTATTTCTTTATTAATTCTTATATTTCAGATGCCTTAAGTTTACAAGAGAAAAAGTGACAAATCACGATGGAATGCTGAGCAACTTAGTGCAGCAGTAAATGCAGTAAATAATGGCAGAAGCATCCGTGAAGTTGCAAGAAGTTTTGCAATTCCCAGATCTACAATTCAACTACGACTAAAGTGAAATGATACAACAGCTGCTTCTTTAGGTCGTTATTCTGTATTTACCAAAGTAGAAGAAGAAGGTTCGACAAAGCAGGTCATAGAGTTATCACAACATTTTTATGGAATAACTCCCACAGAAATAAAAAAATGTTCCTGTAAATACACTGAAGAAAAAAATTTACATCATCCATTTTCCGAAGACAAACTAAATTGCTGGAAGAGACTGGCTTGACGGCTTCCTTAAAAGAAATCCAACATTTCGATTAAGAAAAACGGAGGCGACAAGTATTAGCCGCATATCTGCTTTTAACAAAGCTGAAGTAAACCTATTTTTCTCTAATTTAAAATCCATATTGGATAAATATTCGGCATCCAAAATATATAATGCAGACGGAACAGGCATAACAACCGTCCGAAACCCCGGAAAAATACTTACTGAAAAGAGACAAAAGAGAGTCCGCTTTATTACAAGCACAGAAAGAGGTCAAACAACAACCATTATGTGCTGCATAAGTGCCTCAGAAACATATATTCCACCTTTGTTGATTTATGCCGCATAAGTGTCTCAGAAACGTATATTCCACCTTTGTTGATTTATGATACAAAAGGATGAAACCAGAGTTAAAGAAAAATGGTCCACCTGGTGCAGTCTACTACTGTTCGGATAATGGGTGGATAAATGAGCAAATATTTCTCGAATGGCTCCAGCATTTTTACAGTGTTGTAAAACCTTCAAAGGAGGATCCAGTTTTGTCAATCGTCGACAATCACAGTAGTCACTGTACATTAGAGACACATAATTTCTGTAAAGAACGAGGAATTATTATGTTAACCATACCCTCGTACACATCGCATCGACTCCAACCGCTGGATGTAGCTTTTTATTCATTGTTAAAATCAGCGTATAATATTGAATGTGGCAATTATCTTCGAAAGCATCCTCATGAGCGTATCGCGACATTTGAAATAGCTGAAATATTTAAAAATTTATTCGGTCGCGTAGCCACACCAGTCAAAGCCATTAAAGGTTTTGAGAATACAGGAATATTTCCATATAATCCTGAAAATTGGACCTATGAAGACTTTGCTCCAGGTGAATCATTCATACAAAAAAAAAGATAAAAGACACTAGACCAAGAGAAAAAAAGTGGATTAGATAAGGAGAAGAATAATAACGAAATTAAGGGAAATAAAGAAAGTTCGAACCATGACAAAAAGTTTTAAGTATATTTTGTTGACATAATTCTACTACCAGGATGCTCAAAAGATGACTCAGTTGGAAATAAAAGATCCAACCACAAAAGCAACTGAAAGCAACATTCTGAAATAATGAGATCAATACCAATAAAGTTACCTCTAGAAGAAAAACAGTGGAAGAAGGAAGAGCAAATGAGAAATTAAACCAGCAAAGGAATCAAACGAAAAGTAGGCATCGAAGAGTCCAGTCCTCCGCAAATAGTTCCAAAAAGAAATTATATAAGAAGACAGAAGATCACAGAAGATATAACAACTGAAGATGAGGATGAAGACGATAACCGTGATAGGGACGTTAACGAAGATATTTGCACAATTTGTGGCGAATTCGGTAAAAACATAGAACTCTGGATTCAATGCAGCATTTGCGGTAAATGGGCACACAAAGATTGTACCAGTTTCGAAGGTAAAGTTTACATTTGCAATTTCTGCATTTAATTATTTTTGAAATGGTGGTAATAGTGGCAGTGGTCACTTTTACTCCTCGCCAGCAAGTAAATATGGCCACCAGCAGAAGTCTGAAAAACCGTTTTAATTTTTTTTGTTCTGTTTAAATTTTTTCGTAAATAGAGTTTGAAGTACTAAGGTTTGAATAGTTTAAATTATAGTTAACACTATAATTTTTAAAGCTATGTAGCAGTATAAATAAGCCAAAATGCTTAGGCGGCCACTATTCCCCCCTCTTTCCCCAACTCACACCAAGTTCATATAAAAAACTTAAAGTACTAAAAAAATGTTGATTTTTAGAAGATTCGAACTAAGTGAATCTCTAAAATAGTACAACACATAAAAAATTGAGTATCTGAGGATGATCCAAATAATTAAAATGAAAAAACAAGTTACATATCTGAATATGAAATTTCAATTCCATTGATACTTAAAGAAAAATTCGGCGAAACAAGAGGTATTAATAGTAAGATCACATCGTGTCTCTAAAATATAACGGAAATAAATACCAAAAACTCAAAAGTCCTTACTAATGAAGTTAACAAGCGAAGGGAATTTGCTATTTTTGTTTCCAACATTAAAAAGTGACCTAGAAGATTACTTCCAATTATTAGAGTGAGACACTCCGTAACTCAATATCTCATAAAATGTAATTATGTTGACCACTATTTTATTGACCATAAGCAAACACCATTAGTGTATTTGATTGATCTCCTCTACTTACCTGAATTATGATTATGCTTCAAACAAATAAAAT